AAAAGGATAGGCAACATCTTAAGATTGAAATAATTTCGACAAACGATTCAACAACGCTGTGGTTGTAGGCATCCCGAGACAACTATGAAGGAGTGATATCCTCTCGTATGATAGATTAACTTGTGCATTTTCAGACTGTCAGATAATGACCGGTGGATTTCATTTGGCCGCTATAGCGTAAGTAGATTAGGAATTTGGTCCGCCCATGAGGCATAAGGCTACGCAAAGTACGCTCAGTGTAGTTAATTTCAATGTTCATTTGCGAAGAGAATACGGTCAGAAGTGCTGATTTACTTGGAATAATGTAGTTACAATATCGCAAACTGTTATCTCCTAGTAAGACAGTTGGAAAACCCATTCCAAATACTGATTCCGCTGCAAGCGTACCGAATTGACAAGGCTAGCCCGGTAGTTCGCTTGAGGGCTACTCAGTGTCCACAGGAAGTGAATTGAAGAGCAGTCTTCAACGAAAATTAGCTGTGAAATAAGCAAGTTATCGAGCCTGACAAACTAGTGATCACAGATTATGCAACGGGCAGCGCCGACTGGACAATGACTTCGCAAACCGGTCGCCTATAAAAAGTAACATGCTATAGCTATATTACGGAATTTCACATGTGCACGACTTCGTCCTCAGGCAGCTGCTGTGCGAGGGACTCCCGTTTCGCAGCGGTTTTAATGACCGGAAACCATGATTAGGGCATTCTATTTGGACATGACAAAGGTAAATGACGTTTAAGGACTAAATTAGCCGGCCTAACAACGGTAACGCCACATACGGGTGTGGTTTTCCGTCATAAGAAAGCACAAACGATAACGATAATATACAGACTTTCTCGAGGAGGAAAGCGAATACCCTGTGGGTTTCAAATATCTGTTCATAGGAGAGCTAACAGTATTGACGAGGGGCAAGCTAGTAGACTAAAAGAAGTAAGAAGGGAGCAAAAAAGGAGGAAAGGCAGGGAGATATTTCGAGTGTTACGACATTAAAACGTCCATTTCGGCGACGTTTGGAGCTAACTTGCATACTATTTTGCACAATTAAGTTCGGCTATGGTGTCTCTTTTTTAATGATTGATTCACATTATTGTGCAACGCAATTTTGTTCTTTACTAACAGAGTCTACTACTCTGGGCGAGTTGGAGAGAGCACGAGAAAACAGGCTGGCTCGGAACGGTGTCACACTAGCTTCTACATAGATGACATAAGTGAGACGAGCAGCTGGTACAGACGAATCAAACATATTTGAGGTGAAATAGTTTTGCTCAGTTAAAGTGAAAAAATGACATAAAACGGAAGGTAGGAGGACAGCCGGAGCACCTACCGCTTCCTCGACTTTATGATCTTCAGCCCGCAAAATGTACTGCATGAGAGAGGTCTCAGCGACGACTATGATGCCAAACAGAATGCGTGGAATCCGAGATTTCGCCTCTTTGTTCTTCTTTGAATTGGCATCAGTAGTGCCAGAGGAGGGGGCCGGTTGTGAGTCGCCAAATGTAGACAGACAAGATGGACTGAGCCAACTGAGTGCAGCACACTGAATTGAAGGAAGGTCAAGCCATTGGGGGAAGACCCATGGCTCTTGTCCAGAACGTGGGGTCGGAAGGAAGGGGAAGACAACACCAGCAGAATCTCGCAAAAGCAGAGGACGCTGAGGCAGAAACACGCGAGAGGATTAGATGTTGGATGCCGGGTAATTATGTATTTGCGACTGAAGAATCATCAGAACAGAAAAGGAGTAGACAGTACTCTTAAGGAACAGTGTAACTGCCCATTTAGTGTCTAATTACCACAAGCCTCTGTTGTGCGAGACGACAAACATACACAATTACGCATGTTCACTAGGTTCTTGAAAGCACGCTTTGACAAAATATCCCAATGCTTGGGTTTCCTCCCTGTAAACAACTGAACGTACCTTTAAAATACTCCATCACATCAACAAGCATGGACTGTGGAATTGCCAGTGGATGGAATAAATTGTTTGTCCTTCAGAAAAGGTCAGCCTGCAATGGACCCTTTCTATAGTGGCCGGATGTCGCAATCCTCTAAACCTACGGGACCGACACCTACATATACAGATCGGTCATGGGGGATCAAAAACCGGCAAGCGCGTGGCACGCGTAGATATAGTTTCAAGCTCGTCAACCGCTGCACAGACTTATTTGCAGTCGCTTTTACACTTCCCTTGGAATATATTAGACATTGGGCGTGAATGGAGTAGACGCT